GTGATTATTTTTACTAGTGCATCATGAAAAGGATCAGGAAGGGCCTGAATGTGCTTTTTCTGCAGGCAGCAGCTCAGGGAGCTGCAGCTCAGCTTTTGCTCTGCAGTTAAGCTGGAATAACCTCTGGCAGTAGGGCTGGATGTTGGGAACCTGTGACTCTTGAACCCCAGGTGGTTTTCAGGCAATTCAAGGGCAGATCCCATGCTAGGCTGCAAACTGGAACTGTCACTTGGCTGTTCTGGCAGAGAGGCTATTGAACAGGCCACCTTCCTTGCTGCAGCAGAAGCACCAAAGAGGGGTCCTGAGGTTGACACCACTAGATTTACTGGGGACTGTACTGCACACGCAGCCTAGACTCTCCAAAGGGAAGAGAACTTTTGGATGACATGCCGACAAGAGTCTCAGAACTTCCTCAAGTCCAAACGTGTCCTGTGATTCTCCACCACCTCAGGGTTTTGGTATGCACTTCGTAGTAGGCTGAGGAGAGTTGCATTTCCTTGACCTAATTGTTTATTGAAGTAAATAACCTCCCTCTCCTTTTTGAAAAAATAAAAATTTTAAAAGTACTTAAAACATTTCTCAGGAAGTCCTGGAAACATGTATAGAAGAGGCCATACCAAAAGCCTCTCTCTCTATTGAGCCAGTTTGAGTGTGAAGTACTTACTTATACCATAATGGTATCCCTATACTTACACAGGATTTCTGCAGCTGAAAAGGTTTAGGTCAGTTCTATCACTCATATGACTTTACAACAGGATGTAAAATGCACTGACAATAATACATGTATGTGTACTTCTTTTGTATATTTCTGTTGTTTTATAGCAATGAACAGTATGTCATACATGGGTTAGTGTATTTTCCTGATGCTTATTCAAAATTGAGTCCCTCCTCAAGTTCTGTAAAGGTCAATTTCCTTCAACTTTCATTTTTAGTAACTTCTAAAAAATTGTCTTTCAGGTTATAGATCTGTGATTCTGTATTGGTAGAAAATATTTTCTTTTCCTTTCTGTCCATTAATTGTGCTTCAGCTAACATTTTGCATGCCAGGTTAAAATACAGAGCAAATTGTATGTTTAACTTAGATTCCCAGTGATTTCATTACAGTGTAATTCTGCTATTACAGTTAGAAGAGCTGTGTAAAAAGGTTACATCAGTTCAGCATCTGTATAATTAACATGTTTTGTTAGAATGTTTAGGTGCTAAGTTAGAGTAGCTGTGAGAGGACAGATGTCAGTCTAGAAAAAGCCCCAGGTTGCAAGCTAGGATGTCAACAGAGTCAAGGCAGGAAAAGCTTCCCAGTGTTCTTCGGTGACGAAATCCAGGCCAGAGATTTTGTAATGCAGATAAGGCAGAGACAGATCTATCTACAGGTATGAGGAAGAGAAAAGGTGGGATACAGTTTAGCCTAAGGAAGATGGCGAATAATTACTGATATGAATGGAGTAAGAAAATGAAAATGTTTACTTCTGTGTGAAAGTTCTACTGGTGCATATTACTGCGGTTAAGTAGATTTAAAGGGCCAGAGCTCTGTGGTGATAATCATCTTGTGATACTTCAGTAGTGATATGCCAGTAGAAAAATTACAGATTTTGATTTGCTAATAATAAAAAGTGAATCTAGTAAGGTGTAGCTGCTGAAGTAGCAGAACCTTTGTTAAAGCAAGATTATTCAAGTCACCTGTGGGTTTGGTTTTGTTTGGGGTTTTTTTAATACCATGTGCTTTTATATGCACAACACAATTTACATGTGGGCATGATGTAAGTAATTGGCACAGTAAATGATCCCCAGGAAACTTTGGGGGAATCTTAAAACTTGAAACAGGATAACCCATATTCTGAGGTTCTCATCCTAATGTTTGGGTTAAGAGTCAGTACTGAAACCCTCCCAGTCTTATAGCCATTAACAACTGTAGTTATGAAATAAAGAACTAGTGGAAAATCTTAAAAGAAAAAGGACAACAAAAGCTGTACTTGGCAAAAGCTTGTTTTGTATAGTTATTTTGTTTTCTAAAAATTTTCCACTGTAACATTTTCTTGAAGTAGTGATAAATAACACAAAGTATATGTAACTATACGTATCAGAAGAGTCAAATACAGACAAAAATATTGGTCTGTAAGAAATGTAATAAAATTCCTCAAAAATCTCATCAGATGGATAGCCATATTGTTCTCTCATATTCCTAAAAAAATTAGTAACATTATACTATACGGTATTATTTTTTACCTCTGAAGAGGTAAATACTGTGCAATACAGGCTTTGTCTTGGTTCCCTAAGAAGTTAGAATTCCATTATTGTGCTCAGCACATGCATGACTGCCTCTTCTGCCCATATACATTTTGAATCAATTTACACTTTCAGGGCTATTTGACAAAGGAGTGGGAACCTCAGAGATATTGAATCCCACCACACAGTGAAAATGAATGGCCAAACAGAAGACAGTGACTCTCATAATTGCTTACTCTACTCAGCACTTACTCTCCATTCTTCCATAAGAAGAATGAAGGCCAATAAAGAACAGGTTTTGTTTCTGCAGGCTCACAGAGCAGCTTGTAAAATCTATTACTTAAGCACTCAGCCAGAAGAATCTTAAAATTTTAAGTAATGGAATCATAGGATTTTAAAAAAAGTCACCTTTCCATTTTAGTTAAAAGGAACCTGTATCGTTATAGCAAGTGTCTTTTCAAAAGCAACTTAAGTGTGAAGAATGGAGGACAGTCTATGTGCGGTGAAGAGGTTAACATACAAGTAAATTTAATGCTTCTCCAAAACCCTTAAAAGCATTTACTTTTAACATTTGTTTTGCTGACAACACACAACTGCTTGTCATTTGGTCACCAGTTCTATTTCTGATTTTATTTCTAGATTGTGGCATACAGCCTGCCTTGGAAAAGAAGGAGAAGTGATGGTGTTTGGTGGAAGCAAAGATGACTTGCATTTCATGGATACAGTCAGTAAAACAAATAATGAAATCCTATCACTATGATTATAAAAATGTATATAAAACAATAATACTGGTGATGATATGGGGTTCATTGGTACATGATGGTGAGAGATATGACTTCAGGTGTTCTTGGAAAGTAATCTAGGAGGTGGTTTTTTTCTTGCTTTTGTTAGGCTCATAAAAAGGAATTTATTCAGATTATTTATAAATAATTATTTATATAATTTTAAATTATGCATGTGGTCGTAAATGTTACATTAATGTAGAAAACAGCAATGTTTGAGATAAGCCATTCCTCATTTTAATGGTTCTTTTTTCCTTTGCTCAGGGTCACTGCAGTGACTTACTGATATTTCAGACTCAACCTTACTCGCTTCTCAGGTGAGTTGAGGCCATTGGCACATGGAATTGTGTAATCGTTACGGCACGGTGCTTCTACACGCGGGTTTTAACTGTGTAATCCTACATACATAAAATATGAAATTAGCTTAGTAGTATTTGAAACATGCCACATAAAGCGATCCATAGCAGATTAAATACTGGTGCATTATATTCTCCTGCACATGCAGGCACAACATGTGTAGCACGCATGGTAAGCTTTTACTATACGTTACTTTTTTGTTTTTAGGCTGTAGACAATTAACTTAAATCTAATTTTTTTCCCTTTTTTTTTTTGTTTTCCTTCTTCAGGTTGTGTCTTGACTGCATTGGTAAAAACGCAACTTTCCTAAAGAACCAAATACCATACTTGCCATCCAAACTTCTGCAGCAAGTGCTGAAAAAAATAACCTTCTGGGCTGCAGTTAACCATCGGCAAGAGAAAAAAGCTGAGACTGAGAGACAGAGTCAACTCAGCACCACATGAACACTGGCAACAGAACTGTTGAACACTTGGGTTTATTTATGGCATACAGCAGGGTCTTTTGTTGGTGAACTTTACTAAAACTACAGAACAACTGTATGTTAAGCTGAGTTTCTAAGTGAAGTTTGAGAACAAAGCAATCCTTTTTATGGAAATCTCGTTCATTTTATGCATTATAGGAACCCGATAAAACTTCGTTTGTATATATAGTTAACTTATGCTGTCATGTTCTTAATGAGACAGTCCGTACAACTTGTTCTTTTTGAAGGAGACATGACACAAAATGTTTTCAGTTGGATAAAATAAGGCTTAAGTCTAAAACTTTATGACAGTGTTATTGCATCAGCCTTTCTGAAGAGATAAAGTTTGTTGAACACAGTCCCTTTGGAAGATACAGTTGTCAGGCTTGAAAAAGGTAACTGATTTCCTACCACCACCAAACTGCATTGTTCGATTCCACCCAACTCTGTTATATGACCATCCAGTCAAATGGTGGAGCCAGACATCTTGCTCCAAGTAGAAAATCAGTTAAGTTTAAACTGTGGAACTTGAAGGAAAAGCTGCAACGTGCAGAATCACCTGTCACATAGGAAAACCTACATGCAGTTTGTAACATGGTTTTACTCTTTCTGTAATTGAGTCATTTTTTAAACAGGTTGTATATTGTATTTTGGATGTGTAAAGTTTCTATTTCATTCTTGTTTAAAAAATGCTTATTTATTGTTTAAAAAGAGCATATGTATTACTTGCTATTTTTGTTTCAACTATTTAGTTAATAGGAGCACAATCATTAAAATTTTCTAGAGAGTTGAACCAGGATCAATTTTGTTTTGTGTTTGATGTTTTTACAGCCTGTAGTGAGGAGGGGGTTTTTGAAACAAATTTGTAAAGGGGAGTGTTGGGACTGGGTATTGTAGCACAGCTGTAATTTTATATGTGCTGAACTGTGGTATTCGTTCGGTGACTTACTTCAACAGAGGATTTATCGCTCGGTTAATTTCTCTTGACAAAGCACTACGCCACTCTGTTGCTCCCGGGGGGTAGGCGCGGCGGACGGGCCCCACCCCTGCCATCTTCCGCAGCGTGCTGGCGGTTACCGTCCCGCTGACGAGCCGCGCACCCCCGCGGTGCCTCGAGTCCCGGCTGGAGACGGGCTCGAGCTCCTGTGGGCGACCGGAGCTGACAGCCGCGCTACACAGGCCCCGCAGCAGAGCCCAGGCCGCGCCGACGCCTGCGTGGCGTTGCCGGAAGCGCCCGGCAGCGGCGGATGTTGACGCTGCGCGGCCCCGCTGAGGTGAAAAGGGAGAGAAGGAGCGGGTGGCCGCGTCGTCCAGCCTGCAGGCAGCCCCTGTCCCGCCGCGGTAGGGCCCGGGATCGGGATCAGAGGGGAGGTGGCTCGGCAAGGCGCTGGCGGGCTGTGGGCCGTGGGGGGGCTCAAGCCTCGGCAGTAAGTGGCAAAGGCTGGGAGGCTGTTAACGGGTCTGGTAAGTGCGGCGGGGGCGCATTGCTGGGCACAGCGCGGCTGCTGATCGGGTCGGGTCCTGTGTTACGGCTGTGTCCCGACATGTAACGTGTATCGGGACTGCCGCAGGAAACCGGGTCTGGCGTGTCGGGCTGTCGCTGGTAGCCGGGGGGAACTGCAGTGGCTTGTGAGAAGCGTTTCAAGTACGGGACTAAAAAATGGTTAAAAGCGGGCAGTTGTCCCGTGTGTCTTAGGTTGTTAAAAGATAAATAAGTGAAAAACAGGCAGTGCTGATCGCTGGGGAGGATTCAGTAAAAATCCGGCTAACTTGAAGCAGACGGATTTCATCGAGGTGTGGCTAAAGCTTGCTAATTTAAACCGTAATTGAAGCTCAAAAATAAACTACCGAGGGTGGTGCAGTGTCTTCATCATCAGAGCAGTTCAAATTAATGAAAATCTGTCGGGAGCAGTGTAGATGTCGAGGATTTTGTGTGAGTGCAGGGCTTGATAGTCTCATTAAAGGCCTTTCCACTTCTCTTGCTTTCCTGTTGCACAAAACTATTACTTTGGGCTGCCCAGTTTCCCCGACCTTTTGATCTCTGCCTGAAAATCTTTGTGTGACGATGGTTTCAGCTCACAGCTGCAGGAAAGCTAAAACAGGCACTTGAGAGTCGCTCATAAGTGGAAGATGACTTTGGCTTTTCAGGGATCCCCCTGCTCCATTGCAGGCTGAGCATGCAGGCAGCTCCCAGGATGACCTGGCAGGGATGAGCAGCATCTCCTGGCTTGATTCCTCCCACAGCTGGGGCTTTGAATTACCAGCAACCTGATGACAGTGTGGCCCTGGGGCTCCTCACGTGCCAGAGCCCTGGCGTGGCGGCTGCTTTTGCCCCTAAGCTGCACAGTGCTCAGCAGCCACAGGCTGAGTGCACATAGTTTATTGTCTTTCCAGGACGCTCTGTGTTTGGTCTTCTGCATGTCGGCATGATTTCGACCACAGGCCTCTGTTTTGTGTTGGGTTTTTTTTCGGCGTAGGTAATATGTCCTGCATTCAACAGCTATGGGAAGGCTTGTGTGTGGGACGCTTGGCTTAAGCAGCCCAAAAGGACTTTGTCTGAAAAGCTGCAGGAGATTTTACTTTTGTGAAAACCATACTGTTGGCAAAGTTTTCAGGTTTATTCAAGTGTGGGTTGGTTGTTGTTTTTTTTTTTGTTATTGACTAATGAATTTATAGATAAGTGTGTTTTTAAAAACCAGATAGAGACCTTGGCTCAAATTAGCAACTGAAACTATTATAAATTACACACAGCTGAGGAATCCCCAACTGAAACTTTCTTGACTGGTGGGATAACTTCTTCCACCAAAACATCACTGAAAGAAACAGCAGTGTGTAGTTTACCTTTCTTCCTCTAGTATCTTCCCCTGATGACTTTTAGAGCCCCATATTACGTGTTATTCTGTGCCCGTAGCACTGTATCGAGATGGCTGATGATAACGAAGACCTGCAGGCAGATGAAGAGCTTCCAGCTCCAGCTGAGGACAGCTTTGAACAGCTGGAGAATGACAGCCCTGCTGAGCGCAGTGGGCACGTGGCAGTCACTGATGGGCGCTGCATGTATGTCTGGGGAGGCTATAAGGTATGCTGTAAGCCGCCTACCACCCACAGTGCTGGTCATTATCTCTCATTAGTTTGGGAGTGACTGTAAAATTATCTCTCCCCTGGAGAAGAAAAGCTCCAGTTAACAGAGTATGACATTTAAGAGTATGAAATACTGAAATAAATCATGTTAAATGTAGATCTTGGCAAATGGTTAAATGGGGTGGAATGAAGGGTGTTGTTTGCCTTTGTCATCTTGCATGTCTGTTGGAAGAATCATGGAATCAACTTGGTTGGAAAAGACCTTTAAGATCATCAAGTCCAACCGTTGCCCCAGGACTGCCAAGACTACCACTAAATCATATCACTGACTACCTCATCTACAGTTTTTTAACTCTTCTAGGGTCAGTGATTGCACCACTGCCCCGAGCAGCCTGTTCCAATGCCTGGTTATGCTCTCTGTGAAGAAATGTTTCCTATTATCCAATTTAAACCTCCCCTGGCACAGACTGAGGCTGTTACCTCTTGTCTTATTGCTTGTTACTTGGAAGAATAAACCAACCCCCACCTCACTACAACCTCCTTTCAGGTAGTTGTAGAGAGTAGTAAGGTCCCCCTTGAGCCTTCTCTTCTCCCTAAGACTAAGCAACCCTAGTTCCCTCAACCATTCTTCATCAGACTTGTGCTCTAGACCCTTCACTAGCTTTGTTACCCTTTTCTGGACATGCTCCAGCACCTCAATGTCTGCCTTGTAGTGAGGGGCCAAGAGCTGAACACAGTGCTGGAAATGCAGCCTCACCAGTGCTGAGTACAGGGAGACAATCACTTCCCTGGCCCTGCTGGCCACGCTATTTGATACAGGCCAGGATGCTGCTGGGGCCTTCTTGGCCACCTGGGCAGAAGCTGCATCATATTCAGTGGCCATCAGTGAGGACCCCCAGGTCCTTTTCCACCAAGCAGTTTTCCAACCACTCTTCCCCTAGCCTGTAGTGTGGCATGGGGTTGTGGCCCAAATGCAGGACCCAGCACTTTCCCTTGCTGAACCTCAAGGAGGGAATGAAGAGAAGGGAATGCTGTCTGATTTGAAATGCACACCATGCAAAGTGGTGCTTTTATTTACAGCATTACCTGCACAACTGTATATTGCATGTTAGTGCTCACAGGTCTGTTGTTTATCATGATGGCTGTGCATGTACTGCAAGCAGAATTAAGTCATTTTATGATTTTGACATAAATGGAGATGAATTATCAATTAATTTTGCAAATAAATTGGTAGCTCAAGACAAAGCTTTGGTGTGTTGTTCTGGTGGTGTCATACAGGGGGTGGGAGAATTAAAAAGGAAATTGTAGATCATTTATACACCATAGTTATCCTGTTTGGGCTATGAAAAGGAGATTTAACTTCCATTTACCTTAGTCTCTGGCTCTGGTGGGAGCTTATCTGTTCCCCAGCAGAAGCTAAAACATACTAATACCTGCTCTCCAGGGGCTGCTGTGCAGGTGAGAGGTACAGAAGTCAGGTAGGCACTGCTCCTGTTGCTTTCTGTTCTGTGGTTAGATCTCTGAGAGGGTGTAAACATTCACAGGAATTTGTAATTCAGTATGTCAAGCATTCTTCTGATGTTGCTTTTCTGGTGTGTTCTGCAGAATGCCCAAGTTAGGGGATTTTATGACTTCTATCTGCCTAGAGACGAAATATGGATCTACAACATGGAAACTGGAAGATGGTACAGTAAATAATTTGTTTAATTGTTGATTATATGGGGGAAAAAAAGGTAAAAGAAAAATTCTTAAATCAGTATGGAAAGCATGCTGAGGGCCTGAACAGAGAGAATTCCCTGATCAATTTGTTCCCACCTGTCAAATAGTTGTATAAATGTGTAAAGCAACATGTTTTCATGAGGTGAAGTAGGAGAGGCAGCTTGGACAGGATGATCAACAGTGTGAAGTGTTTTGGAGTGCCTGGGATAGCACCTGAAAGTGGTATTTGTACCACTTTTAATTACAGTGATACATTGGTGGGGGAATCCATATTGAGTTATTTATTTGTTGTCCTTTTAAGGAGGAAGAAAAAACACCACCTTAGATTTTAATAAAGTTTTGAAATGTTGATGCAGCCAAAAACTCTACTGTGTCATCTTAGATCATTGGGAGCCTGAAAGTTGTGTGAAACTTGCATGCCTGATAGAGTGAGAAAACGGAATCCAGTGCTCCAGTTCCATAGCTAACCAGGGCCTTGATCTGTAAAGCCAAGTCCCCTCTGTGCTTTGTAGCATGCGGTTTCAGCAGTGCTTCCAGTTCTCATTGTGGTTAGGAAGAGCCTCGGATAGGGGCTGGAAGTTTATCTTTGTGGTTACCCTGTTTAAAAACATTAAAAATCCAGTAGCAAAATAGAAACCTTCAGTTTGAACAGGGGCATCCTCTTTGCCTGAGAATCTTTTGGGGGATTTTGAATGTGCAAGGCATACCAAAACCCTGAACAGGGCAATTGGAGCTCCTCCCCCACAAAACATGTAGTAATTACATTGCCTTTTCCCACCTCCTCCATCATACTAGGTCAGTGTTGGGAATTGGTGTCTGTGAAGACCTCGAAACTGAGTGGTCTGCAGTGGCCTAATGTAACTAAAAACATACTGGTAGTGTTATAAAAGTTCCCCCCAGATAAAATGATTGCTGTTTGTTTTTATCAGGTAAAATGTTTTAAACTGTGCTTCTAGGAAGAAGAGTAAAACAGAGGGAGATGTTCCTCCTTCCATGTCTGGAAGTTGTGCTGTGTGTGTAGACAGAGTGGTGTACCTCTTTGGAGGACATCACGCACGTGGCAATACAAACAAGGTGAGTTATTTAAAGATAAACCCCTCCTCACAAGTAAGTTCCTCCTCAGTAGCTTTTGTTCCCATTTTTCTCCAAACAGAGGTGGCCTTTTCAGTTAGTTAAATTCCATCCAAAGCAAGAAATATATAATCTTAACAATGGAAACATTTTTTACCAAATGACTGGACAGTTGGGTCTTGTTGCAGAGCTTAAATGTTAATACCAGGGGATGCCGAGCATATGACCAGTCACTGTGTCCTCCCTGGCTTCTGCAGCATAATCGTTTCATCTACTGGTGGTATCTCTAGTTCTTGGAGGCAGATAACGAGCCTTCTCATCCTGTCAGCGGCTTCCCCAGATGTAAGCTAATAGAAGCTGTATTCTTTTTGTGGTTGCCTAGGAGGTTTTCATTTAAAAAAACACAGTGCTAACTGCTTGGATTTGTTTTGTATGCAGGTGATTAACTTGTTATCATTTCAGTGTATTAACTTCTCTGGTCAGATAATGTGACGTTTGTATAACAGGTCAGCCTTCAGCTGTACATCATTTCATCTGAGGATTGTACTCTGGTAGCTTTACACTGCTGAAGAAATACCATGACCTACTAGTTATTTTGATTGCAGTTGTTCTTGTGCAATTCACCCTGTAAACTGTATTGCATTGGCACTTTTGTTTACTTCTTTTGAAAGATGGGAATTTCCAGAGCTCAACATAATAGTATCAGGAAGTGATCTGTAACTGGTCTGTAGTTTGAAATGTTATTCTCTGGAGTCTCTGATAATATTTTCTGATGTTCTAGAAGTGTGGTTTAAATTAAATAGTTCTGGCCTTGCTCTTAAATATAAACTGAAAATAGCTTGATGCAGTGCCTGCAAACAGTCTGAAACAAACTACATTTAGAAAGTGTGACTTGCTTCCTTCCTGCTGTCATATTCTTACATTTCAGTTGTTTTATATAAGTATTTTGTATCAGCTATTTTGCTCCATGTAAAATGATGTAACACGCAGAGATGATACAATTAAAACCACTTTTTTTAACCAGAGTTTTTAATTGTAAGACAAGTGCTACTTTATACACATGTTCATTGTATCCCATGTCAGGTTTTGGATGGTAAAACTCGATGTCCTTAGCCCTGTTACTTCTATAAAGTGTTGGGGGTTTGAGTCTGCAAAAAGATAAGGGGTTTTGGATCCATATTTTGTTCCAAATGTTATCAGTGCTCTGTGCAGCTAGGAAAAGAACTTTTAATTTATATAATTATATACCAGTACATGCTAATTAAAAGTTAGTATTTTAACATCAGTCAGATTAAAGCTTTAAGCTAACTGTGTGTGTAAAAAAAATAATCTTTCTGTTTTCCACAGTTCTACATGTTAAATTCCAGATCCACAGACAAAGTGCTGCAGTGGGTCAGAGTAGAGTGTCAGGGGATACCCCCTTCTTCAAAGGACAAACTTGGCGTTTGGGTTTACAAAAACAAGTAAGGCTCCACTAGCGAAGTCATCACAGCTGTACTTGCATGCGTAGTTGCTTTTAATTGCTCTTAGTTTTGTCACTGTCATGTCTTTGTGTGAACAAGAGCTGCAGAAGGACTTGTCTGCAGCACATGCTTCAGGAAGATGCTGGATTTCTTCCCCAATTTCTTCTGCCTCTTTAAATTGTTGCATCCTTTAATGGTTAATACGCAAAAAAACCTCACTCCCAATTTGGGTATGTGTAAACTGCAGAGCCTCTGTGTGAGTCACAGTCCAAACTGTAGGCTTTTCCCAGTAAATCTTCCACAGCACATTCTCAGTACATTGATTTAAAGTCACTGCCTTGTATCAGCATCGTTGCTCTTGGCGACTGCGTCTGGAATTGCTCGTCACCGAATCCTGTTCTAGGGTTTCCCATGTCACACATGGTGCAGTCTTTTGGTCGCGTCTTACAGGACAGCTTGCATTTCTGTAATGATTGAAGAGCAGGAAGCCATCTTTATCTCAAAATTGCACATGGCTGTTTCAGCAATGCACATGCTTAATTCAGTGCGTTTTGTGCTGGTTGCACAAAACAAGGAATGTGTTAGATGAGTTGCTGTGGATGTTACCTACTCCAGCCCTGCCCTGCCAAGCACACATTTCCACAGTGACCATGCCTAAGTGTAATGCTTTCCCTTTGCTTCTTATGAGGGGTGTCTGTGAACACTTTGGGTTTAGGGAATACGGGCAGAGGGCTTGGAAAGGGTGGAGTTGGGAAACGACAGTAATAAACCCCTGTAGTTGCTGTGTGGGAGCCCTGACTGAAGATCAGAAACCAGCCAGCAGACCTGGTAGCTTCACACATTTGGAACCAGAGAAAAGCTTGGAAGCCTGAGGCCTGGGAAACAGCTGTAAAGGGATTTAGTGTGGGCGGTAGGGTTGATCAGGCAAGAAACAGGGCCCCACACCTGGAAAACCTACGTGGCAGACATATTGGAAGTAATGAAGCTAAAGGAGCTTCCCTGGTTTTCCTGTCTTGTCTTAGAGCACAACTTTTACAGAACTTTTACCTTGTAGCAACAGATGTAGTAGCATTTCTAATTGGATTCATGTTTTGTTGCAGGCTGATATTTTTTGGAGGCTATGGTTATTTTCCTGAAGGGAAACAACGGGGAACTTTTGAATTCGATGAAACCTCTTTTTGGGTAGGTAAACCTGGAAATAAGTTCTATTTAAACTTTAATATTTAATGAGTGCTTATTAAAACTTGTTGCTTATTTAATATTTTTAAAGAATTCAGGTCTTCCTAGAGGGTGGAACGACCACGTGCATGTTCTGGACACTGAAACTTTTACTTGGAGCCAGCCTATAACTACGGTAATTATTAATCTTGTATTAGTTAATTAAGTCTTACAACTCGTAAGAGCATTCTGTGCCTTATCTCTTGTAGAATCCTGTGAAAATAAGCACAGCTCTGCTAGGCCTGGGTTCACTGCTTTAATTTGTGTCAAGTGAGAACAGCATGCTGGTAAAATGGTCTCTGCAGGGTTTGTAGTAGCCTGTCCCAGCCACAGTGGCTTTGGGCTACAAATGCAGTGTGAGGCTGTCTTAACCTGTTGTATCTCATTGTGGGGGCACTGTCTCTAGTCTGTATCTCCCTGGCATTATTTGGAAGACGTGATCAGTGATTACCTGTTTGCAAGCAAGCAGCATAGAAATCATCTCAAAATATATTTTTCCTGCTTTCCTCTTCCACCCTGCAGCTGTGTTGACAGGTTGCCCATGTGTTAACTGCCAAATATTTGTCAGGTGCTCTGTGATCCTGCCTTCTTTGGAACAGAAACTAGTCCCTAAATGCCAGAAGCTGGTGAGGCACTGGAACATGTTGCCGAAAAAAGTGGTGAATGCCCCATCCCAGCAGTGTTGAAGGCCAGGTTGGACAGAGCCTTGGGCGACATGGTGTAGCGTGAAGCATCCCTGCCAATGGCCTTGGACCTAAATGGTCCTTTCCAACCCTAACCATTCTGAGGAAGAGCTCTCTGAAATACGAAGTGCTAGCTAGCAGGAGAATGTGAGAAATGCCTTGCAGGTCATAGAATCCTAGAATCAACTAGGTTGGAAAAGACCTTTAAGATCATCAAGTCCAGCCTTTACCCCAGGACTGCCAAGTCCACCTCGTTATGGTCATGAGACTGACACTCCACAAGCAGGCCATGTGGAGCTGATCTTGTCTCAGTGATGCTTGCTCAGTGTGTTTTTTCCATGGGATGAATCACAGGCCACTCGCCATGGCTGGTGGGAAGCAGCACTGCTGGCTCATGCTGCACTGGCTTGCCTCCTGAGACCCTGCAGTCTGTCTGATCCAAACAGGAGAGGAAACATGGGCAGGAGATGAAGCTTAGGAGTGTGTGACTAGGGCTCTCTTCCCTTCTCGTGCTTCCCGAGCAAGTTATCTTAATTCTGTAATTAAGGGAATTATTTCTTTACATATATATATATATATATATATATATATACACACACCTTGCTATCTTGTCAGCAATGTGGGACTGTTCATTTCTATCCTGAATATGGACTGGGTGAGATGTCATCAGCTGGTGTTTGCAGTGTTACATGTAACATGATTGTAGGGGAAGGGCTGTTAAGAAAGGGGTTTGAAACACTGTTGGCAGAACTAGCTTTGGAAACATCCTCTCAAAATAAAAGTCACCTGCTGCCTATTCAGTATTCCTGAAAATGCTCAGAGGGCTGGAGCATCTCTCCTGTGGAGACAAGCTCAGAGAGCTGGGGTTGTTCAGCCTGGAGAAGAGAAGCAGCCTTCCATTACCTAAAAGGGCCAACTAGAAATCTGGAGAGGGATTTTTGACATTTAGGGATACAACAAGGGGGAATGGCTTTAAATTAACAGAGGGAAGATTTACATTAGATATTACGAAGAAGCTCTTCCCTGTGAGGGTGGTGAGGCACTGGCACAGGTTGCCTGGGGAAGCTGTGGCTGCTCCATCCCTGGCAGGGTTCAAGGCCAGGTTGGACGGGGCTTGGAGCAGCCTGGTCTAGTGGAAGGTGTCCCTGCCTGTGGCAGGGGTTGGAACTGGATGAACTTTAAGGTCCTTTCCAACCCAAACCATTCTGTGAGTCTATGATTCTTGAGGCCATTTAGACTTAATTTAAACCATTTTTTTTACCTAGATCTTCTCTCCAAACGTGTCTTTTATTTTGATATGTCTCTCTTCATCTTTTTTTCCTGTTGACTTGCTTGCTTTCATGCTTCAGTAGTATTGTGCTTGCAGGGAGCTCAGGAAAATGAAGTGCTGAAGTGCTTGGTTTCCTGACATCCTCACTGTAATGTGATGGTTTGGTACATTTCATAGAATCATAGAATAGTTAAGGTTGGAAAGGACCTTAAGATCATCTGGTTCCAACCCCCTGCCATGGACAGGGACACCTGCCACTAAATCATGCCACCCAAGGCTTCGTCCAACCTGGTCTTGAATACTGGCAGGAATGGAGCATTCACAGCTTCTCTGGGCAGCCCATTCCAGTGCCTCACCACCCTTACAGGAAAGAATTTCTTCCTTATATCCAATTTAAACTTCCCCTGTTTCAGTTTTAACCCATCACCCCCTGTCCTATCACTACAGTCCCTAATGAAGTGTGCCTCCCCAGCATCCCTGTAGGCCCCCTTCAGATACTCTAAGGCTGCTGTGAGGTCTCCATGCAGCCTTCTCTTCTCCAGGCTGAAGAGCCCCAACTTTCTCAGTCTGTCTTCATACAGGAGGTGCTCCAGTCCCCTGATCATCCTCGTGGCCCTCCTCTGGACTTGTTCCAACAGTTCCATGTCCTTTTTATGTTGAGGACACCAGAACTGTACACAATACTCCAAGTGAGGTCTCACAAGAGCAGAATAAAGGGGCAGGATCAGCTCCTTTGACCTGCTGGTCACGCTCCTTTGATGCAGCCCAGGATATGGTTGGCTTTCTGGACTGAGAGCGCACACTGAAGCCAGCTCACGTTCATTTTGTCATCGACCAGCACCCCCAAGTCCTTCTCCGCAGGGCTGCTCTGAATCTCTTCTCTGCCCAGCCTGTAGCTGGGATTGCTCTGACCCAGGTGTAGGACCTTGCACTTCGCATGGTTAAACTTCATGAGGTTGGCATCAGCCCACCTCACAAGCGTGTCAAAGTCCCTCTGGATGGCATTCCTTCCCTCCAGCGTATCAACCGAACCACACAGCTTGGTGTCATCGGCAAACTTGCTGAGGGCGCACTCAATCCCACTGTCCATGTCAGCGACGAAGATGTTGGACAAGACCGGTCCCAACACCAATCCCTGAGGGACACCACTTGTTAATGGTCTCCATCCAGACATTGAGCCATTGACCACAACTCTTGGTGTGCGGCCATCCAGCCAGTTCTTTATCCACCGAGTGGTCCATCCATCAAATTGATGTCTCTCCAATTTAGAGACAAGGATGGTGTGTGGGGCAGTGTTGAATGCTTTGCACAAGTCCAGGTAGATGACATCAGCTGCTCTACCTCTGTCTATCTGTTCCATAGCCCCATCATAGAAGGCCACCAAATTGGTCAGGCAGTATTTCCCCTTAGTGAAGCCATGCTGGCTGTCACCAAGCACCTTGTTGTTTTTCATGTGCCTTAGCATGCCTTCCAGGAGAATCTGCTCCAAGATTTTGCCAGGCACAGAGGTGAGACTGACTGGTCTGTAATTCCCCGGGTCATCCATTTTCCCCTTCTTGAAAATGGGGGTTATATTTCCCTTTTTGCAGTCATCGGGAACTTCACCTGACTGCCATGATTTTTCAAATATGATGGCCAGTGGCTTAGCAACTTCATTCGCCAGCTCCTTCAGGACCTGCAGATGGATTTCATCAGGACCCATGGACTTGTGCACGTTCAGATTTTTAAGATGGTCTCAAACCAGATCCTCTCCTACAGTGGGCCCAAGGTCTTCATTCTCACAGTCCCTGCATCTGCCTTCCAAGACTTGGGTGGTGCGGTCAGAGCCTTTGCCAGTGAAGACCGAGGCAAAGTCATTCAGAACCTCAGCCTTCTCCAAATCCTGTGTAGCTAGTTCTCCCGATAGCTTCCTGAGGGGGCCTACATTGTCTCTAGTCTGTCTTTTATGTGCTACATATGTACAGAATCCCTTCCTGTTATCCTTAACATCCCTAGCCAAGTTTAATTCTAACTGGGCCTTAGCTTTCCTAACCTGGTCTCTAGCTTCCCGGACAACATCCCTGTACTCTTCCCAGACCGCCTGTCCTTTCTTCCACCTTTTATAAGCCTATTTTTTCCTTTGAATTTTCCTCAGCAGCTCCTTATCCATCCAAGGAGGTCTCCTGGCCCTCCTGCTGCACTTCCTTCTAGTTGGAATGCAACACTCCTGAGCTTGTAGCAGGTGATCCTTGAAGACCAACCAAGAGTCTTGGGTCCCCCTGCCCTCTAGGGCTATATCCTATGGAACCTTACTAAGCAGGTTCCTGAAGAGGCCGAAGTCTGCTCTCTTGAAGTCCAGGGCAGTGAGCTTGCTGCACGCTCTTCTCACTGTCCTGAGCATCTCACATTCGACCATCTCATGATCGCTGCATCCAAGGTTGCCCTGGAGGGCAACATTTCCAACAAGCCCTTCCCTGTTGGTGAGCACAAGGTCAAGCATGGCACCTCTCCGTGTCTGCTCCTCTATTCCTTGCAGAAGGAAGTTGTCTTCCACACAATCAAGGAACCTCCTGGATTGCTTGTGCCAGGCCGTACCGTCATTCCAACAGATGTCAGGGTGGTTGAAGTCCCCCATGAGAACAAGGGCCTGTGAGCGTGAGGCTTTTCCTATCTGTCTATAGAGTGCTTCATCCGCAGATTCCTCTTGATCCAAGTGGTCTGTAACAGATGGGAGCTGAATTGTGGTTAAAACAAAACACCCTGTAATCGCAAATATACACCATTTGAAGTGTCCCAGAACTGTTCAGGAACAGGCAAATGGAGTGATACGGCCATAGAATTGGAGGAAGTTAGATTTGAGATAAGTTACTCCTCATTCAGATTACCAAAGAATTCTTTTGTCTTGCTACATACGGATCTCAAATATTTTAGAAGTAACTTAAGAAAAATACTATATGGTGATTTATTGTGTCATTTTCTCACAGTCTGTTACTGTGACTGAACCCTGCTGCAAAAGCAAAATTTATACCTTGACACTTAAAGAGGAAAAATAAAACCCCATTTCCCGTGAGTTTTCTGATTTTCCATCCATCAAAAAAACAAAAAAGCAAGTTTCTGCACACAGAATGACTTACTAGACGTTTTTTTCACTCTCTTCTTGGCCTTATATCTGACTTTAGTTCAGCCTTTAATCCCTCAGATGACTGGTTGTGGAGCTCTGAGACCTTCTTTGCCTTGCGTGCCATGGCCGGGTGATTTCTCCACAGAGCCCGAGATGAGCCTGAGCGCTCCGTGTCTCCTGCTGTCTGCTGCTATCCGCTGTCTCCTGGGGTGCCTGGCATGGCATGTGGTGGACATCTTCAGCCCAGCTCCTCTTGATTCCATCTACTGCAGGTTTCTGGTGAAATGGCATTTTCTTTCTTAAGTATCAAATAAATTTACCTTCTTATTTCATGTTTTGTTTTCCCAGGGTAAAACTCCATCACCACGAGCAGCTCACGCCTGTGCTACAGTTGGGAATAGAGGCTATGTGTTTGGTGGCAGATATAGGGTAAGCCCCAACCCAGTTTACTGATGTATTACTGAAACGTAAGCAGAGTGTTTCAGCTATGGTCTACTTTATTGTAGGAATCCAGAATGAACGATCTTTACTATCTGAATTTGGATACGTGGGAGTGGAATGAAATGTAGGTACTAAAACTTGAGTTCATTTGTTTGTAAACCAACATGAAGGTGCCATTTTTATTCACTTGTAATCAATCTAGTTAAATGTGATAAACTCAGGTAGAACTGATCCTGCTGATGAGGCTGTCAGGCTTTTTTAAGTATTAATAGGGGCAAAATTCTTTTACTATATCTAAAGACATTAAACTCATAAAACACGAGTGTGGTATGAATCTGCATCCTTGAAATATCTGAAACATAATCACAGCAGAAAGGAGCAGCAGTATTTTATTGTAGCACATATGTAATTTACGGTGCTTTTATTAAATGCAGAATCACACAAGGCATTTGCCCAGTTGGCCGATCATGGCATTCTTTAACACCGATTTCCTCGGATCACCTCTTTCTCTTTGGAGGATTCACCACTGACAAGCAGCCGTTAAGTAAGTTGTTCCAAAAGGATTCTGTGTTGTCTCTGTGTATGCGAGCAGTTGTGCACAGTAGCTGAATTACTGCCTTGTCACCTTGAATTTGTGCTGAATTCCTCACATCCACTTGTGATCCAGCTCCTTACTGTCAACAGTTCATTTCACAGAGCAGGAGTCTGAGTGTGCTGAGACATTATTTTTATAGGAATTCATCTGCTCTAAAATTGTATCTAATGCAAATTACTATTAGTAAGAGCTTTACAGTTCTCCGTTTTCCCTTCTGACTTCTCTCCCATAAACCACTATTAAGCACCCGTTTTCAAACAGGTAGCCCACTATTTTGTATGGTTTTTCCTAAAATACTTTCTTTTGTTCTTTAAGAACAAAAATGGACTGTGTTGCACCAGAATACATGTTACTTGCCGCAAACATGAAAGAACTAACAGAATGCTGTTTGTGTTTGGGGTTTTGCTTGTTTTCAGGTGATGCTTGGATTTATTGCATCAGCAAGAATGAGTGGGTACAGTTTGAGCATAACTACTCTGAAAAACCAAGGTACAGTAGACAATCCCCTGGAAACTTACTGAAAGAGAGTGAGGAAGCATGTAATGTTGGCTGTCAGAGAGGACACACATTCCTTTTCACAGCACTCATTGTTCTTAACAATACAATACTAATGTTCGTATCTGCCCCAGAAGTGCAGGTATGTTGGTTGTATGCAGGTTGTATTTTGTGCACATAAAATACAAGATGAATACTTCCGTAGGGCTGGTGCTGGCAGTAGTGTTTGTGCAATAGCAAGAAACAAAGGGATTTAGGGGCTAATCTCTGCTGCCAAGGCCTCTGAGTTGTAGACGCCAGCTAACTGGAACCCGTGTGCTCTTGCTCTACCTGCAAACTGGACATGGGCAGGTATCATTATTTTTAGCATCCTTGTTAGAGGCTAATCCTGTGCATGCCCAGGATGTTTTTGTCTTCCTGCTGAGTAAATGAGAGATGATGACTTGCAGTTTAAAAGCATCAGACTTACTGTGATGCACGTATGTGGCATGGAAAACACTCACATCATGTGAGTTACTTTGATGGTTTGAGGAAGTGTTCTGATCAAGGTTAACTGGGTTAAAACACTGGCACTTCCTGGTCTGCCTGCTTTGGCCTTGCTCTGCCTGCTGGCAGGGATGAGGAGGGATCTGTTTTCCTGGACAGTAACAAGGTTGAGCTGCTGCCCCGACACGTGCCCTTCCCCTCTTTGGAACAGTGGATGGTGCCGTGTTGTTACTGAACATATGTACAAAATTAGTTCTTTCCCCAAGTCTTAGGAGAGCAATACAAAATCTGACTGATCCTGCTCGCTCTTGTCTTTTGGCTCAAGTGGGACATGAAAATGAAGTTTGCACCATCAGATCATCGCAGCCATCCTGTAGAAGCCACAGGACCATTGCTGTCATGTATGCCTGCACTGGCAAGCACATGATGCTGAGCGTCACAGCCCAGCTCAAACCAGAACACGTTATATAACCCGTGTTTTGCTGACCAGTATTCTTTCTCCAAACATAAACTCCTGTTGAATTAGTCAGTCTCCGGTGCACTGGTGGAAGGGCAACCTCACATGTGTTAACTTTTAACTACAAATCCTACGCAGGCATTGTTGGGTGGGGTTGATTTTTGCTTTAACGCAGTTCTGACCTCTGTTTCTAGGTTGTGGCATACTGCTTGTGCAAGCGAAGAGGGAGAGGTGATCATCTTTGGGGGCTGTGCCAACAACTTACTTGCCCATTCAAAAGCTGTAAGTTTATTTTGAGCTTTCCCTTCCTGTGCAGCCTGGTCCTGCCTGCAGGAGCTGCGTTGCAGTCTTACCACTGCAGCAAGTGTAAAAGACTTGTAGTCAGCCGCATGATCTTGTGAGGACTGACAAAGGTGCATAAATGAAGCTTGAAAGGAAGATGTTTTTCTGATTTTCTAGCAACCACATCATTATTTAAACAAGCCATGACTTACTTTCCCTCCTACCTCCCAAGTACATCTTCAGCTTTGCCATGTGCTTCTCATGTGAGCATTTTCAGGGATCCCCTCCCAAGGTAATTTCTTCAGTGCGCTGCATGCAGAGAGGCCTGGTGGGGGAGAAACAGCCTGAAGAGAAAGGGATTCTTCAGCCAGGCTGTGACTGTCCTGGGATTGTGGAAACACCAGCTGGCTAGAGGGGGGAGGCTGGGAATGAGTGTGCCAGCACCTTGCAGTGTATGTACCAGTGTGTGTCAGCTGGAATACGCAGGTGGCAAACAGCAGTGGTGCAACACCTCCTCCTGTGCTGGCAGCACTGCTCTGGCAGGTGATAGGTTTATGTGCATTCAAAGGGCAGGCACAACCATTTAAAAATGCCGAAACCATTGACTTCTGAGCCCGATACAGTCCCCGTCTCTAAAGTCCCTCTGTGCAATTCCATGAAGACTTGGAAACTGCCCACAGTGTTCCCATTCTCTCAGCACAAGTTGATGCTGCACAGAGAGTGTCTGACTCTGGCCCCTTTGTGCATCCACTCTTCTCCAGCTGTCTGTATGAGGCAGCCTAGATAACATGTTTTTATTCATCTGTAGTTCCCCTAGTGTCTTTATCATCCCATATAGCAGTGAACAGTTCTGCATTCAGCTTGTCTGCTGCCTTTGTGATCTGTGTAAAGCCCACTACATTGCCTCATTTCCTCCCTTTCCAGGGTCTGTTTTTGTGAGCCTCATCTGGTTTGGCTCCTGCTGTAGTGATGTGAATCCATATAACCAAACTGTTTCTCTCCCCCCCCTCCCCAGGCTCACAGTAATGAAATACTTGTGTTTTCCTTACAACCGAGATCTCTCGTAAGGTAAGTGTCATGGTTTAAACCTAGCCAGCAACTCAGTACCATGAAGCTGTCTGCTCACACCCTCCCCTTTACCCCTGTCCTGGGTGGGATATGAGAAGAATTGGAAGAATGTAAAACCCACAGGTTGTGTCAGGTGTCTCTGCTCCCTCCCAGCTTCTCATGTTCCCTCCTCACTGGCAGAGCATGAGAAACTGCAAAGTCCATGATCAGGGTAAGCATTATTTATCAACAACTAAAACGTTGGTGTGTTATCATAGAACAGTTAGGCCTGGAAAGGACCTTAAGATCATCTAGTTCCAACTCCCCTGCCACGGGCAAGGACACCTCCTACTAAACTATGTCACCCAAGGCTTCGTCCAACCTGGCCTTGAACACCACCAGGAATGGAGCATTATCCAGCATTATTCTCAACCTAAAGCCAAAACACAGCACTGCACTAGCTACTAGGAAGAAAATTAACTCTATCCCAGCTGAAACCGAGACAGTAAGAAAGCAAGTCTTCAACATTAAACTGTCCTGTCTCCATCCAAGCCAAGTAGCGCAGGGTTACTGCCTGTTTCTTGCATTCCTACAATACTTAATTAAAAAAGATTTCTTCCTCTAAAGTATGCTGAAAGGACAGCAGCCAGTTAGCAGGCAGAGCAGGATGTCTCAGCAGCACATGTTTGGCACTAATGACAAGAACAAGCCCTCATTAAAAGCTGTAAAGAATGAGCTTACCTTGCAGCCCTTGGTCACGCTAACTGTGACTGTGTCTTCCCTCTCCCAAGGCTGTGCCTCGAAGCAGTCATTTGTTTTAAGGAGATGCTGGCCAGTTCCTGGAATTGCCTCCCCAAGCACTTACTGCACAGCGTCAACCAGCGGTTTGGCAGCAACAACACCTCGGGCTCCTGAGCCCTCTGCAGAAGTTGCTGACCAAGCTGTGTGTGGATGAGCAGCTCGAAGATGTAATAATTCTACCAAGTGTGGCAAACATTATTGTATAGGTTAAGTATCTTGAAGTGTGTTGTGTATTGTCATAGATAGTTGCTTCTTACCTTTTAAGTTGCATGTGAATGGCCTAGAGAGAACCTATTTTTGTGTAAAGATGTTTGCAATAAATGTATTTAATGCAAGTGGAGGTGTACCCTGTGCTTAAGCTAAAACTAGTTCTGGGTTTATCCACTTGAAGTGTGTTTGAGGGCCAGGCCCAAGCGAGAAGATGGGGTGTGCACATGTGGAAACTTGTTACAGGGTCCCTAGTCAGGGACTCGAAGACACCACTGGTTGTGCAGGAAGTTCTGAGGCACACCATGACTGGTGAAGAGGAGTTCTGCTTTAGTCTAGGCTGAAGATTGCAGTCCTGGCTTAGTCTTCAGTGTTAGGAAACTGCTTAATATTTTTGCCACAAATGCTTAAAGTCAGAGAAACAGAATTTGGAAATTGTATGTTGTCAGAGTTGATAAAACTGTCATAAACCTTGAGATGTTGGAACTAGATGATCTTAAGGTCCTTTCCAACCCTACCTATTCTATGATTCTATGTTAAAGCACCACTACTATGCTTGGTTGTAGTTTGGTATTTTTGGAACTCTTTGTTGTGGAACTTCAGTTGTGAACCTTAGGTAGCAGATATTCTGCCCTGAGAAGTGTAAGGCTTGAAGTGAAAGCGCCTGAGCCTGTTAGTGGCTGCAGCCATGACCTGTGGAGCTCACCTGCAACTGGGACAGCCCGACAGACTTCAGTTGTGTAGAGGGACACTGGAAGTGGCTGTGGAGCAGTCAGCGCCTGCATTTGCCAGTGCAGTTCTGTCTGTCAGGAGCTCCAGGAGGTGACAGGGGAACAAGGAGCAGGCTGTGCGCTGCTGTGGGGAAGGAGAACGATTGCAATCAATCATGTTTAAGCTGTCCTCAAAAAAAAAAAAAAAAAAATTAAAACCTTTGACTTGTAGAAAAAAGTAATTGCTGTCCTGTAATTTCTGCGCTCGGTTCTTGTGTAGGCTTGAGCTGTTTTAAGTGTTCAGGGTGTTGCAGACTGTCAGACAAGCTGCAGCACCCTGCACAAGTCTGTTTCACACCTTACAGGGGGGTGCCAATACAGCACACAGGCTTTATGCTGACCTTCCAGCTCCAGCTCTTCTTCCCCACCTCTCCCCTACTTCCCCAGGGGTGGTAATGGCACAGCAGTTGGGCTGTGCCAGTGGGAAAAGGGGCTCTGGGACTGCTCCCAGCACCCACCGCATGTCGGCACCAGTGGCATGTTTTGGGTAAAATAAAAAGCATGTCACACTGAAACTGTCCTACTCCCACTAGAACCTCCAGTCACCCATAGAGGAAAGTAGTGGGTATGAGGAAGAAACTGAACAGCACCAAGCTTTGCTGCAGCAAACTGGCAGACTCCTTGAGATGGAGTGCTCAGCTCCAGCACTCGATGCATCAGAGAACCAACAGCGTGAGATCCCATCACTGACCAAATGACAGCAATTTATTTGCATGGTTTTATGCTATTTGTATCGAGAGTCCATCCACTGCAATGCAGGAACTGGTCCTCATCTGCCCGCTACACCACAGGAGCTAAACTCAGTCCAGTCAATGGCAGTCCGGGTAGGTCTGTGTCCGTCTGTCCCACCTGCAGGTGATGAGATTCTGACTGCACAGCAGTGGCATTTAGTAGTGAGAAACCCAAGTAAAGAATCACTTCTTCTTCTTGTTCAGGAGATGCGGTGCAGACACTTTCACTTTACCAGGAATATTCCTTGACAAATCGGTATCCTACAAAACATTAAACATGAGAAATTGCACACAGCAGCAAAGCATTTATGGACATCTCCCTCAGCCCCAGTGGACTTCCAAGGTGGCTTGTGGGAGCTGATGGACCTGTTCTTGTCAGCCTTCACCCAATGAAAATACAGCTAATGTCAGACTGCTGCTTTCTCATCACATTTTAGTGATGAAAGACAACAGTTTTATGTGCAGCTTCCATCCATCAGCTCCATTGGGAGAGGCTGGCTGGGTTGGCAGTTCCCTGGGCAGGACCTGTTCACGTCAAGGTCATTAAACATTTAATTGTGGTTTTCTACCAAAGCACCATGAAAAATGGACATGAAGTCTTGCTGCTGTTCAAGGTTTCCAATGAGTGAATGGTTACAGGGCAGCAAACAGCTGTAAAGAGTGCTCTAGGCTGCCTGATCCACAGGGATCGCTGATGTGAAGTGAGAAATAAACACCCGAGGACCACGGTGCAAGCAACCAGCCAAGCCCTAGGAGGAGAGCATGGCCAGGAGCCAGCCCTCTCTCCAGTGGCACGCATGGGAGCACTGCACACAGATGGCCAAGTTTGAGAAGGAACTGGAGTGGAACAGAACCTCACTGGGGGAGTGAAGATCTTCCTGAGCAGAGCAATGCCATGTTTACTTGGCCCATGGTAAGCATCTTCTGGGGGAGAGGGGCAGGCAAAAGCCCCTGGTGAGTGGCACAGCCAGACACTGCTTCCAACCATGCCCAGCTGAACTCCCAGCATGAGCACCTGCCCCTCCAACACACTACCACAGGAGTGGGAATTTCCCCTCCCAGAACTAGAGGCCTTCATGGAAGATGATGCTGTTACCAGCTGTATTATTTTAGATTAAGAGCAACACAATAAAGAAACTTAATGCCCAATGATAGAGGTGAGGCTCAAATTCTACTGATCCTTCCCAGGCAAAGCAGTGCATCTTCCCCTGCAGTAATGAGAAACACAATGCTGCTAAAAAAAAAAACAAAAACCAACCACCCAAAACAATAGAACACTTGGGTTTGGAAGGATTTACCCCCAGAACAGTACTGGTTGACATTTTGCTGCTGCTGCTATATTTGTATACAGAAACTATGTAGAAAAACTTGTCACCTTTACACTGCGGAACAGGTCTTTTTCTCTTGCACTAGCTTCTTTGGATTGCATAAAGTTATGCAAGGCAATCTTTGCAGCTGTAAAAGCACAGGAAAGATTTAAACAGTATGTTAAAACATGCTGGCTTCAATAGGTGAAGCACTGAGGATTCCAGTGCTTTAATACAGTACCTTTTCCCTTCTTTTGGGTGCCTGGAGTGAGCTTGACTTTATACCTTTCAAAAGAAAAGGTTTCTCTCAGTAGCATGTTGGCTCCCCTCAGCCGAACCCTTGCCCCAGGAAGTGCCAGGACTTACTTGTAGCTCGTCATTGCCGTGTAGGGAGCACAGATGGGAACAGCGAAGAGCAGGATATCCTCAGGGTGCGGCTGGCCAGTGAGGGAATCCAGCAGCGCCTCACCCTCCTGCACAGGCAGAGGAGCTTTGCTGTGAGACCAGACAGCACCTCTCCAGCCCCTCACTCCCGTATTGACAATGAGCAGAGGCTGGAGGGTCTCCCCTCCCACCTGACCCACAGCAGCAGCTGCCCTCCTACAGGTAGCACATGTCAGTTCTCATGACAGCATTACCAACATGCACTATTAATCACTCACTTTGCTGGCCTTGAGTTACCAAGCCACAATTTATTATTGACCATCTTTGATACAATAAAATTGTATCATTTGAAACAGGATGGAACTCGGTTTTAAATGATCCAAATAGGAACCCCGAGTGTTGTTACATCTTCACAGTGTCGCCAAGAACTTCCCCCTACAGAATCACAGAATAGGTCGGAAGAGACCTTAAAAATCATCTAGTTTCAACCCCCTACCATGGACAGGGACACCTTCCACTAGACCAGGTTGCTCAAAGCCCCATCCAACCATTGTCTTCCTTCATTAATTAATTTAAAGAACCAGACTTATTTCCATCCTTGGGCAACACCCACAGCCTGTAATTATAGAAAGATCTGGAGCAATTCTGAATGTAAATCAGCTTCTAAAGAACAACTTGCTTGGCATTGTGCTGTGCCATCCTTCAGCCTAGAGCAAATACGTCCTGAGGCAAAGACAAGGGACAAACTTCAGTTTAGCCAGCCCCTAGTTTCTAAAGGGAAAGTATGTGGTAAGCAGGGTAGGAAGACAAAAAAGGTTACTTTTTACTTTTCTTAAATACAAGGAAGCTGGGTTCAGAGCATCGTGGGCACAAAGAGGACTTCAAACCAGAGCTGTGCCCCTCTGAAGGGCTCACATGGGCCAGCCCCAGCCTGCACCCTCTGCTCCTGCTCACAGACAGCTGTGTGGGCAACATGTCCCTCCACCTTCTGACAGGAATAAACCCTTTTCAGCACTTACTGGAGCTTCGAAGACAAGCATTTACCTCAACTCCTGCCTGATCCTGCTCTTGCTCCTCCTGTACAGAAACAAAGGATCAGAGCTGAAATGAACATGACTGCTTTTCTTTCTCCCAGCCCCTAGAGAAAGTGAATTCTTTTATCAGCACTACACAGAAGGCCACGTTCTCACCCCAAAGAGAATTTAATATCCTTTAAACCAAAGGCAAGAAGAGCATTTTTATGTTTCTTTTGAAACCCTGATTTGCTTGGCACAGACCAAGCTGGGAGGAGAGAGATGGGCTGTGGTTCAGATAGCAACTCAGAAGGACAGGTCTGCAGAGTCCTCGGTTACGTTTCAGCTGCACCGAGGAGGAAGTATTGACTTAACTGGATCTTGGCAGCCTGGCAAGGCTCAGTCCTCCTCCAAGACCTCGTTCTGGCTGTGCTGGGAGCACCACATGCACCTAGGCTGTTGCAGGGCACTTTTTTTTTTGATGCTTTTTGAAATGAATGGGCTCCCAGAGCCGTGGCACGAGGCACAGTGCTCTCCACAGTGCCCCAAAACCAACAAGAGCTGCTCAGCCTCCCTGCAGAAGAGAGCTACCCAGTGCCAGGAGAGTTGCAGCAGAGAGTGAGAAGGGACAGTTGAGCATGCTGCTGCTCACCTTCTCATCCTGCTGCTCCTCCAAGGCTGGGTCCTGTGACTCGTGCAGCAAAACTCCTGCTGGGACTGTCTCCTTGCCCCCTCCAGCACCATGACGAATGGCTTTGGGTTTCTGCTGCTGCTTCTTTGCTGGCTCTTCTTTTGTCTTCCCCTTTTTCCCTTTTTTCCCCTTCTCCTCCTTGTTTGACCCTGCAGACTGTGGTTACACACAGAGGTGGTCAGAGCCAGCAACCACGCCACAGGGGAAGACAGAACTCCTCTCACTCACCCCC